TTACGACCAATAATTGTTGGGAACATGCCACAATGTTATCTAAATTTAATGAAAAAATGTTGGGAAAGGGAAACAATAAACCGCCCATCAGCAATAAAAATCTGTGAAATCCTTACAGAATGGATGAAAGATGAAAATATTTTATTAGAACTAAGTAAATCGGATGAAGTATTAAAAAATATCAGTACACATATACAGACGTATCCTGATGATAATTATAAAAGTAAATTTATTAGTTATACTACATCGCTTTAATATTAATTATAATTATTTAACAGTTAGCGTATTGAATGAGTTAAATATGGATGCGTTGATTATTAGTGAATAATATAAAATATGCTGTAATTGAAAAAATGTATTATGTAAATTTCGATTGTTTTAGACTTGACTATTGGATGTTTCTTAGTGGACATTTGACTGCAAAAATAAATGTGCCACATTTTATTTGCCTATTACTGTTATATCTTCTTAAAATTGTAGATTCTTAGTGAATTAAATTTTCTTACAATTTCATTTTTAATAAATGTCAAATTTCATACAGCAATACGTACTAAAGTGTTGTTTTGAAATGTCACCAATCTTAATAATTAAAATACGGTAGTTTATTTTTTTGGCGCTAGATACGTAAAAAAATAGGTATACTTAATAAAAGTTTAGCATTGAAAATTTGGGTATGGTATAAAAAAAAAATTAAAAATTTAATGTACCGAATTTGATATTTATAAGCCAGGTACGATATGAAAAAAAGATAGGTAATATGAAAAAAAATGGACCGTACCCAAGATTATGTATATACTTTTAGGTATGGTACAAAAAAAAAGCATTGTAATATATTATATAATTGCATCAATAAAATTATAATGAGATATGAATAATTACTGGTATACAATTATTTTTTTCATATAATGTGTATAATAATTAGATATTAATATAAATTGATATATTTATTAAATATTATTATATGCCAATTTTTTATTACATATACTATAATAGAATTTCTTGCAAGAATAGTAGGCTATAATTATCAATTGTAAACTATTGAACTATAGGATAATTTTCTGGTTTATTTTCAGAATATTTCCAAATACTTTGAATGCGCTTTTTTGGATTATCTTCATCTTTCAAAATCTGTCTTACACGTGATGTGTACTTTTTACAGTTAAAATCAACAGGCGTAATTTTTACTTTTCTTTCTCCCTCCTCGCTATCTATCTCGACAGACGTTATTACATTTTCATCACTATAATCATTATCTCTACTTATAACTTGAATCTCATAACTACCTTTGTTTGGTGCATTGTATATTACATTAATACTATTATTATTGTTATTGTGCTTAACCTTTCGAGGCGCAGCATACTGCAAAAGATAAGAATTCGAAGATTTAATTTTGCTGTCTAATATCAAGTTATGTCCTATTAACTTTGCAGATGCATAAATTTGAATTTCAGCACCATCAGATGAGTTAATCAAGTCATTAGAAAATTTTTCTTTAATTTTCAATAAACCATTGTATTCAATTTTTTTTTCTTGGGAATTTTTTGTACTATTTATTTGAAGCCAATAATATTTTATATCATCTTTTATATCAGGATTTTGTTCAGTAGCACAATATACATAAATAACTCCTTCCTCATATGAAATTTCTAAATCTTTTGGTTCTGGTAAAAGTTTTAATATATCATTTGATATTGCTGGAAAACTATTTATCACTTCATCTACTCTTGATGAAATAGAGTGCACTCGTACTTGACAAGCTACATTTTCTTCAAATATATGGTTAATTTCATTAGTCTCAAATTTGTATGAATTTGAAGGGACCATTTTAACATGTTGTTTATTTGTTTTAGTGTTATATAATCCAACAGAATATCCTTTTAAATTGTTTAATTGATCTTTGTCAATGGAAACAAAGGTAATAAGAATCGTTTTACGATTATTAATGACCTCAATATTAAGATTGGTAGGTTTTGGAAGCTGGGTAAAGCATTTTTCAACAGATGTTTCTTGTCCATTCAATGTTTCTATAGAATTACCATTAATTGCTTGAAGTGAAAATGAATATTTCAATATTTTTGATTTCATCAGTATTGGTTTAATTTCTTCTTCAAGTTTATCAATTTCATTATTTTTAATAGTAAAGGTAGTTGATTGTTCGCAAAATGTTTTTATGCGATCTCCACAAATATATAATGCGACTTGATAACTATTTGCATTTTTAACATTTTTCCATGATATTCTTATGTTATTATTACTATATCTTATTTCTATTTTCTCAACATGTGAAAGGAATTTGAAAAATTTTTCTATATCATTATAATATTTCGAGTTTATAATATCTTTAGATAATATTCTCATACGTATAAAATGTTCTTTAGTAGGTTTACATGTATTTTTCCTAATTTGATTTAATTCTAATTTAAAATTACTTTCAGAGTATTGGGCTTTATAGATAACAACTTCTGTGCCATCTATCACTTGAATCACTTGACAATAATATCCAGAAACTTGTTTTATATCATTTTCATCTTTTTCGAATATGTGTAAATGATCAGTGTTTGGTTGATATTCAAGAGAAATTACTTTAGGAGGTAAGAGTTGTGATACTGTTTCTTCAGCATGTACGAATTTACTATCCCTCCAGCCTTCTGCTATCGCTTTTGTGCGCACTGTGTATTCACCACCTGGGGCATCAATCAACTCTTTTTCGGTATTTATTATCCTTGGTGTGTTTACGTCGATTTTTTTACTGTTTACTGATTGATGGTCCTTATTAGTCAATTCGCAGAAATACTGTTTGATATCAGGATCTGAAGATTTAATATCGATCGTAAGAGTTTTATCATTTGGATTATATTTTGGTGTTAATGTAAGCGGAGGTAATAGTGTTCTGCTATGACCTATTGTTACTTTTGATTCCAATCCTGCATAGCTTTTATTATCCTTATATAAAAGTTTTGCAGTGATTGTGACAATAACATCAAAACATTTCATCAATTTGTTATTTTCTAATGTAAATAACGGATCTTTGATATTAGATTCTTCATGTATTACTTTATCTTTATCTTTTCTGTATTTCCCATAATCTGCAAATTAAATCTAATGCTTGAAGATAATTCATCATCTTTTGCTTCTGGTGGCATCTTCCACTTAATTTTTAGAGTATTTTCTGAGCTAAAACCCAATTCGATAGTTGAACTATCCAAGAATAAAAATTTTTCTATAACCTTTTTTATTCTTTCTTCGTATCTTTTGATTTTTTCTTTTATCGCTTTAACTTTTTTTAATTCTGATTCATCACCATCAAAGATTTTTTTTACGCCAACAGATTCCAAAAAAAGAATAGCCCATTCAAGAAATACAATCCATTCTCCAATTAGCAAAAGTGAAGGACTAATTTTAGACATCGCATCACTTAATATTTTTGCTCCTTCAATTGCTTCTATTTCACTTTCTAAAAGCTCTTGTTTAGGCCTGTTTCTATCTACTATATCATTAGTACGTTTTTTTAATTTATCTCTTGAGTTCTTTATTTTATCGCCAGCTATACATCCAAATCCCTTTATTGCAGATTCACCTAATTGTTCCAAAGTAGCAATTGCCAAAGCATCTATAAACATTGCGAATTTATCAGGGTCTTTCAATAAACCTTTTAAAAATTCTGCAGTGTTATCTTTCAAACATTTTAATAAATATCCAGCTATATCTTTAAGGTCGTTATCTGCTGTTGGATAATCAATCTTTACTTTGAAAGTAAATATCTTAATATCTTTAATATTTGTAGATTTTGTTGAATTATTGTACGGAGCTTTTATATTTATAGAATAAGCACCATCAACATCAAATGAAACAGCTTTTTCTTGAGCTTTAAAGTTATTTATTGATATAGTAAAATTTCCTTTAAAGGTTTCTTTAAGTACAAGATCCAAAATTTTACATTTTGAGTTGATCTTTGATGCCTCTTCAATAAACTTGGCAAATTTATTAGTTTCCCAATCTAATTCATAAGGCCATTCGGTGATAACGAATTTATCTTTTTTAGACCAATATCCTTTTATTTTTGGTTCTTTATTTCCAAAGATATCTGAAATAACTCCGCTTAATCGTTTTTTCGATTCATTGTACTCAAATTCAAATTTTGCAAAATAACTTTCAAACAATTTTATCGAACCATTCATGCCAATACTATGTTGATTAGCACTTGACTGTATTAATAATGTGTAATCAAAAAACTTGACAAATCCCAAATTTATTTCAGCATTTTTTTCGTTATCAGTTACTTCAATTGTCATTCCATCAGTAATTTTAACAGTTACAAAAAGTTTTTCAATTCCAAAAAAGTCTATATGTGCATTCGCATTGAATCCTTTAGTATAAACTTTTTTACCAATCTCTGTTTTATCCTTAGCATAATATAATTCTCCATCATAAAAAACAATGTCCGGATAATTTTTTGGCCATTCATAGTTTCCTTTAATAAATATAGTTTTCAATAAATGCATTATACCGATCTCTTGATTAATAGTCACTTGGCAAACACGCGGAGTCCCATTTACAAATAAAATGCCTCCAAACAAAATAATTTCAGAATCATTGTAATGAAATTTAATCTTGCCACTTAATTCAAATGTGCTTTTTTGTATCTTTCTACCAATTTTATTCTTAGTGTTGTTGGTATCTTGATTATCTTTAGTATCTTTATTATTATCTTCATATTCGAATTTCATGGTGAATATTATTTCTTCAAGAGTTATTCCTTTCATTTTTTCAAATGGATTTTTTATTGGTCGTGATATTGATTTCGCCTCAAAGGATGATTCTTTTTCTTTTATACTCAAAGTTCCTTCGATCATAAATTCTGCATCGAGTAACTTTTTAAAATTCAACTTTCCATAAATATTTATTTCAGGTATTGAAGTAACTGGTTTGTAAGAAAATTTAATATCTTCAAAACTTAATCCACCAAATAATTTCAAATTATTAATTATAGCTTTGAATTCACAATTAGATAATTTATCAAGGCCCATGAATAATGAGACTTTTATTTTCGTTGAATCATAACTAGGATCAATCGTGGCATGAAGGTTTTCTAATAATAGGTACTCTTTGTTATAATCTAATTCTACATATAAACTTAAACCGGGTTTTAATTCTGGTTTATAAATATCTTCGCGCCCTGGAATGGATATGATATCACTAATTGTTTTATCAGGTTTGATTATTTCGTTAATTTTCTTAATTACTTTTCCTGATTCTTCTTTAACTTTATCTGAAGTTTCCCCTTGATATGATACAAGTATGAGGTTGCTCTGAGTTAAAGGCAACACATTATCTATATTGGATACTATCTTTGAATCAAATAGAATTTCAAATTTCAAATTCGGTAAAGTTCTTAATGCAAATAAATATTTCCATTTACTATTAGCAAAAGATTTTGTATTTGGTTTAAGTAAAAGTAATGCGTTTCCAATTGATTCAATTGTCATATATAATGCTACGGCCGTGTCATTTTTATCAAGGCACAAGTAAAGATATGTTTCAATCTCATTTGTTTCATTTATCTCATTTGATGATGATTTTACAATAAATTGAGGTGATTTCATCTCTTCAGGCTTTCGAACTGACCATTCATCATTATTCATCAGAGTATTAATGAAATCTGAAATATTGACTGAATATTCACCTTTGATAGCATGCACATTTGCGATGAAGGTTTTTTCATTAGAAGTTTTTGATCCAGCAATTACCAGTTTAAGTTTTGTATCACCATCGTTCAAAGTAAATATGCCATATAATTTTCCTTCGAGTTTTTCATCCTTCATTTGATCATAGCTAATTGATATTCCTACAGGTTCTAAAACCAATAAAGGATTTTTTAATAATGTATATTTTTTGGTTTGCACTGAAATGTTAAAGTTGATAATTTGAAATGGTTTTATTGAGATTGTTATAGAATTTTCTTTTTCTATTTGTAAAACATCGAAATTTGGTAAATTTGGTAAATTCGGCAATATTTTTGGCAAATTACATTGTTGTCCTGTAAGAAGTTTTAAAACGTCAGACAGCTTAAGAGGCTTTTTATGCGGTGAGATTGAGCCTTTGATAGTTTTTTCTGTATTTTTGATAATATAGTTTAATAATATCTTGGCGGCAATATTCTCATCATCTTTAAGAGAAATAATGGCCTCTAATGTAAATATCGAATAAGGTTTTATTGATTTTTTATCATTCTCCGTTTTATTATATTTGAATGATAATTTATCCAGAGCAACTTTTTCAAAATATACAATTCCTTTCAATTCAATTGAAAAACTTTCAATACATTTCTCATCAATATTGAATACCAAGTTTACCGAATCAATATTTAATTTTGATATTGAATCATTAGGAATTGTTTCTTCTGTTAGCAACTTAACAGTTTCTGTGAGTGACTTATTCTTAAAGGGAATTAACGTAGCATGGATTTGACGCTTTTCATTGTCATAAATTAACTTTGCTGCCATTGAGCTAACATTTCCCTCAATACTAAATTTCCATATGTCTGAATTGTAAGAGATGCATATCTTTAATTGTTTAATATTCAAATACCCAAAATCGAATCCAGTAGCTTCAAGTACGATGGATAATTCTTGAACGATAAAATCTAAAGTATCAGAATTGGCCAAACTAATATTGATTTCCGAAATGATTGCATGTTCAAATAAATCATTAAGAACAGGAATCTTAGAATTGATATTAAGCTGAAGAATTTCAAGAATTTTACTTAAGGTAAGATGCATGGGAAAGTTTTTAATTAGCAAGCTTCCAAAACTTTCTTTTGTTGGTGACATATATTCAATAAGACAACTAGACATGTCATTTTTTGTTGTAATCATATTTTTAATTTTTCCAGACCATTGCTCATCGCGGTATTCTAGATTTATATTCGCATTTTCAACTTCTATAACATCTTTTTTAATTATGAAGCTAGGAATTGTGATACCAAGTTCGAAATCACCAAATTCATAAGAAGTATTACTATTCAAGCTACTTTTAACTTGTAGGTAAATACTTCTAAATATGACAGATTCTAATTCGTTAAATATAGGATTCCCGAGCATCGGTGCGACATCCTTAAGTTTTTCGAATTTTTCATTTAACCTGATAGCATTTAATATGTCTTTCAAGCTACAATCAGAGTTTTGTGATTTGATTGAAATTACATACTTGATTGTTGTATATTTTTGCTCCGTTTCTTTAACAGGTATGTAAGAAAGGTTGGCCAAAAGTTTTTTACCAGCAATTAAAATATCAAAATTTATATCAATACCAATCATTATATTTTCCTTATCTAATGGGTTTAATATGGAAATTACAATGGACTTGTGTGTTTTTTCCAATTCTGAAAATTGATTTGGTAACATAGATTTTTGTATTTGAGGAAAGTTATTCGCAGAGATTCGAATTTCTTTAAGCTTAAAATTCATTGTTGGAGGTTCGCATATTGGACGAAATGATAGACAAAATTCTTTATCAATACCTTCTATATTCAAAAAGTCTTTCAAGGTTTTCTTATATAGAGGAACCTTTAAATTATCAAATACATTCTCTATGCCAAGAACATCTGCTGCAATTTGAGCGAGTTTTATATTATTATCAAATTTCAGCAAAAAGAATTGTTCATTATCATTCTGTGTAAATATTCTTCCAGAAATATTATTTCCAATTCTTGCATGAGCATCGACGGTTATTCTTGGGCTAGTATTAACAGCATCTGGATCATTAATAACAACTTTGATATCAGCTATTTGTGAGATTGAAATTTTTTCAAGCTGAAAATCTAATTTGCCATCTGTTTCTAAAAAGAATTTAGATTGAATTATTCTAGTCCCGGTAGGACCAGGTAGAAAATCAACTTCCGAAGTTTCCTTATTTACTTTACAATTTAATAACGAGGTTTTTGATATAAATGGGAGTGGAATTTTTAAGAATTCTGGTATGACGGAAAACTGAGGCATCATTAAAAAACACAAATAGCCTAAAGTAAGATTCCAATCTTCTTGCTGAACGCCTGTGTTTAAAAGATAATCAAAAATAGATCTCAATTTAGAAACTTCTGGTTCTCGAATAAATGTATTTTTTGATTTATCATCTGTGTCAACTTTGTCAACTGTGTCAATTCTTATGATTGTCTTCATTCCTTCAAGCCTTGGATTTTGGACATTGATATACGCATCTGTCACTTTACAAGGAGTGGGAAGAATTGGAGAAAGATCTGAGGGAAGTTTTGGCAGCTCTGATTTTTTTAGTTTTATTGCAGCATCTTTTATTTCAAGCAATTTATCTTTGGTAATTTCCCATTTGACTTCAGATTCTAGGTCTATTTCATAAGACAACATTTTGAGCCAAATAGGAGATTTGAACACTCTTTCGACATTAGAAGATCCCATTAAATAGTTAACTGCATTAGCGACATTCAATATTAAACTATTATTATACTCTCCAAGCTCCTTCAAGAGAGATTCTAAGGTTTGACCTTTCTTTTGATAATCTGATTGATTTTCGTATTTAAATACAAGTGCACCTTCGTTAGTAGGCAATTTTTTAAATTGTGTTGGAGAGGGTGTTGAATTATCAATAGCGTAATAAAGAACCTCTCCAGTATCTAATGCTAAATCCATTAAATAAAAATTATCATATCTATTTTTTTCTAACCATTCAAATTTAACAATAAAGTTACTTTTGCTGTTAGATATTCTATATAAATATTGATCAATAGGTGGTATATTAGATAATAAAAACGTAGTAGGTTCTTCAAATGGTATCAAATCGCCTTTATCGTTAACACCGAGCCATAGACATGATTCTTCGCCTGAAATCTTTGCACGAAATTCAGTGTTTTTACCGGTTGGATGGTTTGGAATTTTAGAGTTAAGAATATTATATATTTTCTTCACTTCCTCTCTTTCTTCAGTATCCCAACGCAATAGCGTAGCATTCTTGGAGTAATTTGGTGTATCGTTAGAAAGTTTAACGCTAATTTCATAAGTTTTCCCACAATTGGCATAAACCTTAATATTTTGATTTTGATATAGTTTATCATTAATGTCGATTGATTGATTTTTTAATAAATTATTTATGGTAGTAGCAAGTAAATTCATATTGATTTTGGACTCATTGATCAATAAAATCGTTGCATTTCTTTCTTTATTTGAATCTTCTAATATAGATTTTGCAATTCCAACAATGGTTAAAGGATCCGGGTGGCCATGTCTTGATTCAGAGGAGATAACATAAGTCTTTGCGACAAAAGACTCGTAAAAATTTGAGATAGAAGAGACAATGTATTGAAATGCCAGAGGAGATAAATTTAAACAATTCCATATTGAATTTAACAATGGCTTTAAATTTTTAGCATATTGTGATCTATGCTCAATTTTATCTCCCTGGTTTGTACAAATGACGATCATATCAAAATTTTTATAAATTCGTTTCTTTATGCTATTAAAATACCGTTCAAGTTCTTCCTCATTAATATTATCTCTATTTTTAATAAAATCATATTTTTTCCAATTAACTGGGTCACTATTTTGATTGATTTTGTAAAGTTCATAAAATTTCCTTCCAATCTCGGGCCAATTTATTTCATCCCATTTCCAATCAACATCATCCTCTGTCATATTGTTAATCACCAGAGCGTCTGCCATATATTTTAAAAATACTTTAATAGATGTCGAATCAAAAACAGATGTTAGATATCCTTTTGATAAGGCTGCTTCTTCGAATAATTCAAAATTTGTAAGGTTAAACATATGTTCAAAATCTGCAATAATATCTGCTTTGTCATCATTATCATGAAAATTAAATTGTTTACCATAATACAGAATCATCATTAAAGTAAATTGTTGATTAACGTACTTAGGAACATAAGTTTCCGCAATGATGGAATTAATTCTTAAGCCATGATTTGGTACTTTGAACAGATCTATAGAGAGGCGTTCATTAAATTGTAATGAATCTGGATGTTTATCAGGTTGTAAAATCTTTTTTCGATATTCTCTTAAATTTATCTTTAGTATTTCTAAAATCCATGAAATTTCGTTATCGCTAGCGAGGAACATTGTTTTGATACTTCCGTCTTTTAGAGTATGCTGAAAATATGTAATTATACTCGAAATGTCTACCGACATATCAGATTTATAGTTTTGGATATTCGAAGGGTGTTCGATGATAGGTTTTATAGATGGCTCTGAAAATGTTTCATTATCAATTTTTTCAGATTTATAAAATTCTACTACATATTTAGTCACGGGCTTCACATATTCAGTCACAGGTTTCACATAATCAGACACAATCTTAGGCACAGTAATATTTGCAGGAACTGGAATATAACTGGCAATACTCAAGCTTTCTTCTTTTTCACCATTTTTTTTACGCCTAAAAATTAAAGGACCTCCATTTTTATGGAAAAAACCTTTTATATAAGAAGAATTTTTAATAATATGGATATCGTTTAATTCATGAATTTCCTCAAATTCATATTTTTTAAAAATTTTAACAATCGGCGTATCTCTAAATTCCTCGGTAAGTATGATATAATCAAGATCTTGGAATTCTTTATCACTATCATTCTTTATCGGAAAGAATTCGGTAAAAAGTTTAGTGATATCATCAAGATGGTTTTTGTGTACGCTTGTTATAATAATCCCTTTAAATGCTGTTACACGACGTTTAAGAACCGCTATTCTCGAATTTTGATAATCTGGAGATCCATCGACAATAAGCCAAAAATTATTATCTGTACAAAAAGTAAATGTTTTTTTTAAAATATGGATACATAAATATTTTAAAACAATAAATTAACACCGGATTTTAATAGCTTACCATTGATTTCTAAAATTAAACAGTCACCATTATCCGAACAAACAAAATGTAATTTAGGTTCCGGCTCGGACATTATTCATAATTTTAAGCATATAGACAATGTCAAGTATATAAACAATGTTATTAAATAGTGCTATGATGTTTATTTACTGTTATTCGTTTATTTACTTGTATGAAATTTTCTTATGAAGCTAAAACATCGCGTTTTTTATTTTAAAAATTGTAAGTACGATCATTTCTAATCTTGATTTGTTTCAATTACAATTACTAAACGTAAATACGACAGTAGTATAAATTTATTGTGCAACCTATTATCTTATGATTAATGAGTACACATATGATCAAAAAGGTATGCTGTGCCGTATTTGTTTGCTGGGACCATAAACAAAAATAAGCCTAATAAATCTAATGAATCACTTTTTTTGACAGAAGTCAAAGAGATTCAATTTTCAGGCTTCACATGTCTTGCAACAAAAAATAAATGACAAACGAAATATAGTAATTCGTGATAATCTAGATGTTAAATGATAAGATATTTGACGAAAAATATTAATTAGATCATCTAGATGTCAATTAATAAGAAATTTGGTGGAAAAACATTGTTCATATCATCTAGATATGAAAGTTACGTTTTTGACATAGTTCTATAAAAATTGCTTTTTTTATACAATTTTAAAAGTTGTGTAAAATGGAATGTCTAAATATAAATCAAAATTTGGACGCCCTGGTCTAACTATTAACGACCAAGTTAGGAGTGATATGTAATATTACGAAGTATATGGTTACAATCAGCTATGGCATTTTTAATGGCGTGCGTTCGTTCACAAAATAATTTGACAATACATCACGATATGTATCCATTGTAATATATAGTTATATGAAGCTTTAACAGGTTCAAAGCGCATGATGATCACTTATAAAAATGTATCATTGTCTTTCAGGATTGCACCGAATGTAGATTTTTGATATTATCATTATTACTATTTCTGTAAATTTGAAATCAAACCGGATATCCGGACATGTATCCGAATTTTATCTACAGAAAGGAATAATATGTATTAGGCTGAGTAATGCTACAGTAGCTGTGCAACTCATAGTAATTCATTCGTATTAGAATGTCACTTATCTGTTTCTTTATTTGAATATATGTTATGTAGCTATAAAATTGGTTTATAATTATAATTTGATGTGAAGAACATATTCGCAGCTATTAATCAAATAAGCCAAAATTAAGCGTCTTTATAAGAAAGGACACTTAATTGAGAACAGCATAGTATTTAAGCTATTCATTTTTAATTTTTTTATCTGCATTATTTCATATCTAACGTCAGAAGTGAAAGCTTAGGTTTTCACCATACCAAATTTAGTCACATATACTACGTATCATTATTAAATATTTAAGGGGTAGTCCGCAGTCAAAGGGTCAAAATTTCATAGTAAAAATCGGCACAATTTTACTAATTGCCTTATATATTTTGTAGAAACCTTTGATTTTGCTAAATATATTTACTATATAATAAGAATATAATAAAAATACGATTAAAATATAATTAGTAAATATGACAACTCTATTTGTTCTGTTTGGAATTTATAATAAAGATTATTCTTGCCAACCAACAGATTTAACAAACATAAAGGATTTTAAATACATTACGGTGCATTTGTAAAATGCCAAAATTTGAAAATTTGACTACCGCACGCGAGTACTTCATATATATCAATATCGATATGTATTCAATAGAATATTAAACTTAATGTGTTAACTTAGCCAACACTTTCGTCCCTCAGAGTTATTATTTTGATTTAAACAATGATATACGTGCAAAATATATACATATACTTTTTAGCTAAAAATTATTTTAAATTTAAAATGGGTTGTGATAGTTGGAAATGGGTTAGACGTATTGTTATTATAGATCAGAGTGCTAATGATTTTTTTTTTGGAGGGTTTATTCTTAGTAAATCAATAATAAATTTGGTCCCTAAAATTTAAATTTGGGGACCAAAAAGAGTTAAATTTGACAAATCCGTCGCAATGATAAGCTTTCATAATAAATATATAACATAAGACTGAGCTAATAAAAAAAAGTTCGATATAAATTATATAAAAATTTATTACTCAAGTTATAATTCTAAACAAACAAGTCTTTAATAGTTGTTAAAAATGTATTGAAATTATAATCAAAAATCATAATAAAATCTATAAAAAGCAAATCATTGTGAATCTGATTAAAATATTAAAATAGTTGATCTAATAACTAAGGAATTTTTAGATTGTTTGTCTATAGTAAACATCTTAAAAATGTTTAGCTTGTCTGAATAATTTTTGTACTCATCTAATAGAAAATGGAGAAGAAATTAGTAAATTCCATACATCTAACTCAGAAAGGCTTTAATATGATATTCTATCTTTCTTACCAAATAAGAGTTATTATTAGTATTATATATTATACAAGTATGTAAGCATGATATATACAATTTTTTTACTGTGCTTTTCAAATTACTGTGTTCATCAGATGATCGCCCATCACACGAAAATCAGGAAATTTTCTTTAAATTCCTGGTTTTTTACAAATTTCTACTTAAAAAATAACAATTCCAAAGATTCCCTATCACATTTCAATTCTTTAATAAAACATCCATTAGTATTCCAAATTTTTTAGTTGTTAGACCGGTTAATAATAAAAATTTTCACCTTTTTTTTTGCTAAGTTCGGATTTTCATTGTGATTCTAATTTTTTTATAATATCTAATTCTATGCTTAGATTTTTTAGTTTCATAACAAAACAATAATAAAATTTTTAAGTTTTCGTTTTTATTAGTTGAGCAGGCAATAATTTTTTTTTTTTTACAAATTTCGTATGTATATATAAAATTAACACATGCAAAATTTAGAATGCATTCTTTTAGTGAAGACCTTAAGTGGCACATAGTTTATTTGTGCCACGATGGCTACTCAAAAAAAGAAATTGCATCCACTTTATATATGAGCGTATCATTAATAAAAAAAGGTTTGAGAATCTACCAAAAGTGGGGCATGGTTGTTAATCCATGGCACCAAATTCCTGGACCTCAAAAAACTTTTGATATGACTATATGTATGTTTTTATTTGTTTTATAATAATTATAGTACTTCTTTTAACAATTTTATATAATTAGACTTTGCAGCAGATTGTTAGAGAGAAAGTTGATTGGTATTTGGATGAGCTTGTTTGTGAGATAAAATGATGCACTGGAAAGTCTGTGTTAATCCCGACGCTCTGAAGATCTTTGGCTTACTGTGGCATCATGTGAAAAAAAGTTTTATTTTTTTTTTTTTTTTTAATTTTTCTATTTTATTTTGTCTTTTTTAACATTTATATAATATATATATATTATTGAATAGCTTCAAAAAGATACCAAAGGACGAAATGAGCTTGTGCGAAGTGCTTTTATAGCACGTATTGGTGCCTAGTATCGACCCGAACAACTAATTTTTTTGGATAAATCCTCAAGAGATGAATGTATCATAACGAGAGGTTATGGATATTCTGAAGTAGATACTAGAGCAAGAAAAAAGGTGGTATTTGTACGCAGAGTAAGATACACAGTTTGTCTGGCCTTAACTCTACAAGAAATAATTTCTGCTGATATTGTAGAAGGCAATTATACAAAAATTAAATTTAAAGATTTTGTTATAAATCAAGTTGTATGTATATATTATCCTAATTGTACATATTCAAAGAATTTTTTAGTAATTATTTACAAACTTTTTTTGTAAATATAACAGTTACTACAGATGAATTCGTATCCACATAGCAATAGCGTTTTGGTTATGGATAATGCACAAATACATCATGACGATAGATTGTGTGAATATTTGGATGCATTTGGGGTATGCATAGAATTTTTTTCACCTTACTCACCTGACCTTAACCCAATCGAATTAGCATTTTCTTCAATTAAGAGTTACTTGAAACAGTATTGTTATTTTGTTAAAAATTCTAATATAAATTATTCACTATTAGTCACATGCGCACAAATTACGCCAGAGATAGCAAAAGTTTTTTTGAGGCTTTGGGTTATAAGTAATATACTAGTCATTATAAAGAAGACTTACTTTTTTAAATTTATTATTATTATTTTTTTTTTGTTAGCGACTAAAATAGGTTTAGATGCTATATTTTTTTTTTTATTTACTGTATTTGCCCCGTCAGACTAATAATTTGTCAATAATTCAAATTTTGTTTATATAATTATATAATTGGTATTATAAATTTTAGCATAATATAGTTATTCACTAAATATGAATGTCTATTTTACTAACATGCATCTTTCTGAATAGTACATTTTTCTAACATTCTATTTCTTTGAAAATATATTACTGAAAGCTCTTACCGAATTTACAGCTATTTTATAAGTTCTGAGTCACCCAATAAACTGAAAAAAGACACGAACTAATTTGCCAACACTATTTCACTAATAGCCATGAGTTGGCCTAATCGAGAAAACATTTTGTTGGAAAATTTTTTTTTTAAGAATATTTTTTCAGAAAAACTTCTTTTGGAAAAACATTCTTTAGAAAAAATAAATCAATTAGTGAAAAGGCTTCAGAAAAAAATTTTGACTTGGAAACAGGAGTTTGAAGAAAGGGAATTGGTTGTGCTAATAAAAAAAAATTCAGAAGATAGGTTTTAAGAAAGTTAGAATCAGCGATTAAGGCTTTTTTCAGTGGTGCTGTATTGTATAAATAAATTTGGGGGGTGCACTATAACAATCACTTAATAAAGTAATGTAGAAAACCTTTTATTAGTTTAGTTACCAATACCACTAACTAGAAATAATCTACTAAACTAGAAAAGTATTTTCTATATAACTATATCAAGTGACTATTATAGTGCACCCTCAAAATTTATTTATACAATATGGCACTGCTAAAAAAAAGCCTAAGGCTTGGTTTCACAATAAGATATGATATTATAACAATATATTGGTCATCTCATTAAGCATGATACACCAACTTGATACATTTGAATTAAAATTTAATTACACAAAATTTTACAT